TCTGGCCATCACCAGTAGGCGGTAGGTGAAGTGTCTTGCCCAAGGACACAACGACCAAGACAGACAGAGCTGGGGATCGAACCGGCAACCTTCTGGTTACAAGATGAGCTTCCCAACCCCCTGAACCACAGTCGCCCGCGCAGGGTCAACTTTTGTGGTAGTCGTGACCACAGAAATTATGTTTTACTCATCCATGACCTCATAACCAACAATAAAAAGGTATGAAAACAGATGACAAATTTACATCAGGAACAAACGTAACAGGACTGTAGTACAGTACCTGGTTGAAGGCCATTCATCCATAATAGCTCTATCAGCCGGTCCAGTCTAGTGAAGTTATATTGAGGTTTTCCTCCAATATCTCTAAAATTAAAAAAAAGTTAGATGAGACCACTCTTAGTACTACTGTAAGTTATAACCTACAAAAACAACATTCAAAAAGCTTGTCTTCAATCGCGAGCGTATTATAGCAAACATGACCCACCACATGTCATGCTACTTGCTACCTACTTGCTTGTTCATTTACTTCACTTACTGTGCAGTCACCAGCTCCAGCATCCAGTGTATCCTGACCTGCTGGATCCCTCCATGAGGAACAGAGCCCACATAGGCCAAATTCAGCTGCTGGTCAATGCTCAGGTCATACTCGTGGGCCTGCGTGTGAGGGAGCGGGGGGCTGGACACAAAACACAGACAAACATTTAGCTTTGTGCTATATCTACACACACTCACTGGGCATTTTATTAGGTACACCAGATTGGACCCCCTTTTTCCCTGAACTCACTTATTTCTTCATGACACAGATGTACTGGAAACCATCTTCAGAGACTTTGGTCTGTAGTGACATGACTGGCATAACATAGCTGCTGCAGATTTGTCAGTGGACTGGTGAATATGGAAGCTATTTGAGTACAGTGAATTTTCAAGACACCAGTTTGGGATGATTTGAGCTTTGTGGCACTGTGTGTGATGCTGGTGCTGACAGATGTGATCAAAAAAGGATGAACATCGCCAGCAACAATACTCAGGTAGGCTGTGTCGTTCAAATGATTCTTAACGTTTAGTAAGGGACCCAAAGCATGCCAAGAAAATATCTCCCACACCATGACACCACCAGCAGCAGGCAGGGCCCTCATGTTGTTCATGCCAAACCCTGAATGAGTGGCAGATACTGAGACTCATCAGAGCATGCATCATTAATGTGTTCTTAGCTGTCAGAAATTTGGTCTGCTGCTGTAGCCCATCCACTTCCGGGTTTGATGTCTTGTGTGCTCAGAGATGCTCTTCTGCATACCTTGGCAGTGAGTTACTCCATAGTCTACCTTTCTCCCTTTAAGCTCAGAGAAAGTCCTACGTGTTCCTAGTAAGTGCATCGTTTTTTAAATACTTCCTCTGAAGTATTCTGCTACAGTGAATATAAAAATAAACCCACAGTCAGTGTCCCGTTTCAGTGAATCTCTGCTTTCTGGCTGACACTTACTGCTCGGCGCTCACACGGGAAAAGTTAAAACTGGACCTACCAGAAACCAGTGCTTCTCCAGAAGTGTTTAAGATCTCCTGTCGGCCTTTGCACGTCAGCTGTGATAACATAGGAAGCGCTTGAAGTTTCGGAAATGCAAAGGAGCAAAGCTAGAAATGTAAACGTTTTCCACACCATCATATTTGCGACCCGCTAGCTTAAACGGCTACAATAAAAAAACAAAAACAAAAAACAAACACGGTGTGTTATAGAGAGAGTGGGGAAGTGTGACTTAAACGTCGTCTGTGAGTAAATAGGAGAAAAAGCTCTGCCATAGCTCAACTAGACACACTTAAGGCACCAACAAGTGTTTCTAACAAACTAGCAAAGTGCGACTGCAGTCATGTGAACACAACAACGTAGATTACATGCGACAGTGTTGTAGTCTTTTAGGGAAGTGAGCGGTGCATCAGTTGCATGGACACAAAACCACTGCACATTCAATTAATTAAACACAACATTCTGCAGAGTATCACTGATGTAGCTTCTTATTATATTATCGATTAGATGCCAGTTATTTGACTGCAATTTCAATCATACTGGTTTAGTTGCGCATCAAGCTACATTAAATCCCTAAACTTCGACTTTACATATCATATAAAAGAAACGGATAATAAATCAGACGCTCAAAACACAAGGAGCTGTTAATGGGACATTTATTAAAAAAAACAAAACAAAACAAAAACGGTATAGGAGAATCAGAAGGCATTAAAGGAAAAATACAGATGTCATTTACAGTTTAACTCAAAAATTGTTAAACAGCAACAGTTATACACAAACATTTACACAACCTGTACAAATATTTTTCCTCCGCAAACTTGCAAGTTAAATTTCAAAATAACTTAAATAGTTTTCTACGTAAAAGTGCAAATCCATATGGGTGTGATGTCTGTGAGTAAAACCATGGCGACAGAAAGGGTGCTTTGAGCTCATTGGCTGTAGGATGTCCACTTGTAAGCAACACAAACACATTTAGCTGCGTAGTTATGATGCTTTGCACTGACCAGCAAATCAGTACTGTAATATCCCAAACAGTCCCAAACTCTGTGACGCCCTTTCTCAACGAATCGTGCCCAACCCTAAATAAAGCCACCGTTAAACATTGCAGTTCAGTCTTTGTAGTGTTCTCAGGTTCAAAGTTTGGAACGTCAGCATTACAGTATAGCAATGACAACCTGTTACATGTATGGTAGTGTTATAGGTTAGCATTAAAGTCACAGTTAACCACAGACCATTCTATACAGTCTTGAACCCCAAACACGACAGGGTTGTAGTAGTCCACAGGTTTCAGGTTTCGACAGCAAGTGTGAGTAGAGGTGAGGCGAAGGCGGCTGCTGCTGATTCTCCACAGTCACAAGGTATGAGGCGACAGAGAGTGGCAAACTGTTAATGCTGAAACTTCAAAGTCTCTACAGGCATCCTTCTCACTGGTGAGGAGGGGAGACATATTGAAAACAAAAAACTAACCCACACACGCTATTGGGCTTTACATGCTTCTGTAAAATCATGCAGCCGAGTCCAAAACAGAAAAAAACTAAAAGAAAATCACCATGAGGAGTATTACAGCATATCTGCTCATGAAGCACTGGTCACCATGGGCTCTACTGGACAGAAAACTGGAAATGTGTTTGGTAAATAAAAACGGTGTTTAGGCATTTGCAATACAAATGGGGGGAAAAAGAAGCAAGCATCGAGTCTTTGTGTGAGTTTGTGTAACATGAAGTAACTACGACTTCTGCTCGGCTCCTGCTGCAGACTGCGCTGCGCTCTCAGGCTTAAGGATCTGGTAGGTGATGAGGTACTCTGGGTAGGCCTAAAGAAAACAAAGCAGGGTGTCAGCCAATATTACACAGCACGTGTTGCTTTTTGCTAACGCTACGGCCTGAGTTCTTAATTACCTGCTCTCCTCTGTAGATGACGTACTCGGCGTAAGCTAGGCCGTTAACGCTGGGCCGCCCGATTACTGAATGATGTCCTGGGGGAGCGTGAGCCATCTTCATGGCACTGAACTGTAGGAACGACTTCCCCAAAGTCACTCGGCAGAAAAGCATTTGCCTGAGAAGTCACAACATATGAACTGAGTACAGGAACAAAACTTTGCTACAACATCTTTGTGCTGCAGTTTAATGGGTGACAGCCAAAAGTTACCTGTGGCACAGGTAGCAGGATCGGTCTTTGTGTGTTGGGCAGCCAGTGCCTCCACCGATGCCGTAGACGTATTGATTGCTTTTTGAGGAGTTCTCTGCAAAATAGATACCTGCTCCAAACATCCCTCCTATGTAGGCGTGACGCTCATCAAAGCCTTTGTGAATGATGGCATTGATAAACGGGGAGCCTGTAAGAAATTGTGGCAGGATGAAGTTACACAGTAGTCAGGTTTTCTGTTATGTCTGCTGCAGACACACAGAGCACATAGATGGTGTGACAGTGGGTGTGGTTACCGTGAAACAACATCCGCTCATTGTGATGGTTGTGGTTCTCATCTGCGATCTCCTTCTGCCTGTGGGTGTAACGTTCCCTCAGCTTCTTGTTTACCACCTTTTGAATCTGTGTGATACAGTAGGGTACATTTCAAACAGGATGCAGGGAGTTGTGTTTGTTTTACACCATAAACTAATGACTCCTCCCAAACTGCTGTAATATTGAGGTTTGTAACCCCAAAAATATACTAAATAAAGATTTTAAAAATAGCCAACACTTGGTCAGTATTTTGCTGATAATCAAAACAGTTAAGTAAAGAGTCAGCATTCAGACCTTAATGATGTTGTATCTGCTGAAGACACCACCAGCATTGCCTCCATCTCTGTGCTCTCTGATGGTGCTCTGCATCTGTGTGACACACATGAACAACAAGATTTGTTATAAGGCACTCTGTCCAGCTATCGCTACATAATAATTTACCAGGTATTTAGAACAGCTGCATTAAAAAAAGAGACACTATTTTTGGGTAAATGCAGCTTCTCAGCTCACCTCCTCCTCCACCGACTGGTACTCCTTGTCTTCTGGGGCGAGGTCTATAAGAATGGTTCCCTGGCTGGCACAGTGGAATGTCAGGTATGGGTTGCCACCTGAGAAGTGATCAAGATTCAAAGTGTAAAGATGCACACTCTCTATTAAAATAGTACCAAAAAAAATCCCCCCCCAAAAGCCACTGGGTTACACCTCACCTTGTTGGCCGCCCAGCAGCCTCTCAACTCCCTTGATGAGCTTGTGTCGGTGGCCATATGCATTAATCCCGATCTCCTTCAGCTCCTCATGGCCCATGTCAGCCAGCACATCCAGTGTGATCTGAGAAAAAAAGAACCCCACAACAAATTGAGACCTTTAATAATTTAATTTTGGTCAAACGTATAACCAGCGGGTTACAGGTCCAGCGTAAAAGGTGTGCTTGCTAGAAAAAGCCATTATGACCTGCTCTCTCTCAAAGATGTCCCTGAGGTGCTCCAGGCCCAGACTCTTCAGGAATTGACTTATGTTCATGTCCAGCATTGCCACTATGAAAAAAAATAAAACAACAAAACAAAAAACCCAGAAGATTTAATAAAACAAATAATTGTAACACAAGCTCCCCAATCTCTTTTATGTCCAATTTGTCTGCTTAACAAGATTTTATAAACTGAGCAGTGTTTGATATAAGGACCGCAACAAACTTACTTTCCCCTTCCTTGCGGTCAGTGCCAGTGGCTCCATCTGCCACCCCGGAGGACCCTGTAGCAGCGGCAGCAGCCAGCTCAGTGAGGGGCCCAGCAAGGTTGTCTATGCTGCTGGCAGCTGAGAGACAAGAAGGCGTGGAGGCAGGGGAGATGACAGAGGCGCTGACCACTGTGGCCTGAGGCTTAAAGCAGCTGGGCAGGGCATCCGGTGGCATGGCATCCATCAGCAGGGCTCGGATGTCATCAGCCTGCACAAGTTAAAAAAAATTCAGCAAAGGAAACAGTCTGAGCCTTTCAACGAGCAAACATATTAAAGTACAGAATTTCATTTTATGGTGCGTTTAGTATCACAGTTATTCTTTCAGACAGAAGCCATTACCGTAGCCAGATCCAGAGCAGTCTGCCCCTCCTGGTTCTTCATGGTGGGGTCGGCTCCATGAGCCAGCAGCAACGCACAGAGCTGTGTGCGACCCTTCTGAGCTGCTTCATGGAGGGGTGTGAACGCCCATTTGTCTGTGGCATTCACACACGTGTTGTATTTGATCAGAAGGGCTGCAATATCCACATGCTGCGAGGAAGAGAGAGGGAACAGATCACAAGTTAAACCCTGAACTTCAAGTTAAATAAAATAACACAGTTACTGACACAGAGTTTTCAAGAGCTGATGGCAAGGTCATCGGCTCAAGTATCTTTTCATCTAAAATGTTTACACTTTCATGTATCTACAGCTACAAAACCCACAAAAATGTTTCTGTTTATGTAGCTGAGACTGACCCCGTAAGAGGCAGCATTATGAAGAGGGATAAGGCCTCCTTTGTCCTGTGCGTTGACGTCGGCCCCGTGTTCTAATAGATACTCCGCCACTTCAAGGTTGTTGTAGCCAGCTGAGAGAAGAAGAAGAAGAAAAAAAAAAAGAGTCAGTGCAACTTCCTTCATATGAACACACTTCGAAAAGTCTTTTTTAATACATATTTAATTAGATGAGATTAGTCTCATTGAGCTCCACTCTTTTTACAGCTCGACATGAATAAAATGCAAAGGAAATACTGTGTAAATACAAAACACATAAGACCAACAGCCAGAAAAACAGGACACATTATGTTCCAAGTTTTTATGTCAAACAGTGTGTGAGTTAGTATTTTTACTCAGTACAAAAGTATACAAACACATCAGAAGAGCTTGTACCTGCGAGGTGAAGCGGTGTGGAGTTGCGCCCCTGTGTGTCTCTGCAGTTGATATTCTCCGGGGAGCAGAGCTTCTGGACCCGGGCCAGGCAGCCCTTCTTGGCAGCATCCAGCAGGGCGGCATCGCCCCTCAGCAGGTCCTGGATGTCCGTGTCCCCATCTTTCACCATGTCCAGCGGCATGTTGCCATCACGGTTCTTCTTGCTTGGGTCGGCTCCATGCTGAACAGAAAAGTTTAGTTGATCGATTTTATAAAAATATTTGTTGCAC